AAACTGGGCAATAATCATGGGTGGAACCGGGCTATTAAAAGAGTATGAAATCTCCCGATTAGCTCCTTCGTCGGGATCAGAAGCATTCAGTCTGATAACTATTGTTCCGTTGTCTGAGTTTTCGAATATTCTTACTTCATATTCAGACTGGTCGAAACTGGGAGCATTGTCATTCACGTCCAGCACAATGACCAGCAGCTGAACGGTGCCAGTGAGCTCCGGTTTGCCTCCATCAGTAGCCGTCAAGAGTAAGTTATGTTCGGGAATTTTCTCTCGGTCCAAAGATTTCCTTAACACGAGCCCAACTTGCTTATTCTCCTCATTCTTTGAATTCACATCTAGCGTGAAGTAATCACTATAGCTAAGCCTATAGGTTAAAACGGAGTTAGCTCCCGTATCTGCATCCGAAGCACCCTCTAGCGGAAACCAAGAATCTGGCATTCTGGATTCTGAAACAACTAGCTCTTGCTCCTTGACCAGAAATTTGGGTGGATTGTCATTAATGTCCTTCACCTCCACCTCCACATGGAAAACTTGCAGCGGCCTCTCCACGATCACCTCCAGATGGATGCTGCACTCCAGACTCCGCCCGCACAGCTCCTCGCGGTCGATCCGAGAATTCACAAACAAAATGCCATTCTGCAGACTTACCTCCAGAAGGTCTCCGCGGCCTTTGGACGCCACCCGGAACTGGCGCGGCACCAGCTCCGCCAGCTCCAACCCCAGGTCCTCGGCGATGCGGCCCACGAAGGTGCCGTGTTTGGCCTCCTCGGGGACCAAGTAGTGGACCTGGCCGCTCCCAGCCTCCCAGACTGCAAGGAACAGAAGCGAGAGCAGCAGACATCGGGCTACCGGGCCTCCTCGCCAAGAAAAAACCATGTCAAGTACTTGTGTTGTTGCTACTAAAGAGTTCTTGGTTATAAAGATGAACTACATCATTGCCTGGAGTCTTTTAATCCAATTCCGCTGCCCCCGCCATTGTTCCGCATTTAGAGACTGATATAGAGGGATGTCTGGATCTTGAGACAAAACTGCTTGGCAGACAGCGACATCATGCGGCTCCAAATGGTAATAATTATTGAATTCACTTACCTCCGCTATGATCAGGTCCTTTTCAACCAATATTTTCTTTTCCGGTTTCTTAATAGTGTTCTTCATCTTTTATTAGTGGTAGAGGCATTTATGCTGTCTGGATCCTCACATTAATTTTTTTCAAGCTGGGGATCGCTTTATTCATAAAAAAAATTCCTTTCCAATATTTTAAATATTGTTATGAGGTGTTACATACACCGCAAAAGCGTAATCTTTACTCATTCATCTTAAATGCCTCAATAGTCGGTGATTCAGCTCCCATTTGAATTCATATAGTAGCAAATCTGAAGGGGGAATGGTTTTCAAATAACTTATCCTCCACTAACATGCTCTAGATTCTGGCATGTTTGAAATAGCCTAACAGGTGATTATGATTTTAAAAACACTATTATTTAGTAAGTTCTGTTTTATTTAATTGGAATCTCTCTAGAGACCTTTATCACTAACCTATACTAGTCATTTTGAGACAACAAAGAATTCCTTTTCTTACGATCAGAAGACTTTATAAAAGATATATTAGCCCGCATTCTTTACATTGAAGGATTTCTTGGGAGGTTAGAGTATTTCATTAACTTGGCCCTAACTAAAGATTTTTAATTTTAAAACTTGTGTAAAGCATCACATATGGCTTTTACTAAAGTCTCTAGCAATCAGGATGTGTGAGGATGTGATTAACATGTAATCACGATGATATTTCTTGTAACTACAGCTAATAAAACGTATTGAAAATCCTTACATAAATGAAAATAATATGGAAAAGAAGAATAAGAGCATTTTCTACATCTCTCCTCAATTTACTCAGACTATAGTTTATTCTAAATAATGAGAATGACTGTATAAAGAAAGTAGCATTATTTAATATCTGTGAGAACTTTTTGCCAACAGAACAAAAATTCCATAGCCTTGATATGACAGTTTTATTTCTGGAAAAAAATTTACCTTAATAAAGAAGTGATAATTTATGAATAAAAATTGGAGTGTGTAGGAGGATTCTTATCAACTTCTAGTACTTCCTATCAAAAGTAGAATTTTAAAACTTTCTTAAAATATATTTGGAAAGTAGTTTATATGTATATATATGTGAGAATAAAAAAAAAGAAAGTAGTAAACAATGGAATTACAATTACCATCATCAAAAATTAGAATATGTATGGGTTCTTCTACAAAACTGACTATTCTTTCAATGAGAGCAGCAAATTTGCTCCAATTATAGTGGATGCAAATTACTGCTCAATGGTAAAAAATTCTATGGAATACGAGACAAGTTCCCGAGTTTTCATATCTGTGACTTTATGTAAAATTACACCAAGAACAATAAACAAACATCCTAAAATAACGTTCTAAAGTATTCTATGTGGACGCTGACAACAATTACTAACCAAACTTTTTGTAAATTTTAAAAAGTACTAGTTTGTATACTTAAGTTATTGTTCCATTGATATACAGAGAAATGGAAGAATAAATCATGATATATCCATACAATAAAAAAGATGTAGATTTTTTTTTAAAAGGGGAAACAACTAAGCAAGAAAACTTTCTATGAAATAATATGGCATAAATGCCAAGTTATAGTGGAAAAACTTCAAATGCAAAAGAGCAGGTTTAAGTACAATCACTTGCTCTTTTAAAAAAGAAAGACAGATTGTGTATATATATATGTGTGTGTGTATATATACACACATACACACACGTATATATATATATACAGAAGATATATATATCTTGGAGGAAACTAAAGAAATTGAAAATGCTTCAGAAATTAAGAGAGTTTAAAGTAACTGGCTTAGGGTTAAAGGTGACAATGAGACTTGTCACTATATAGAGATTTGATTCCTTGAAAATTTGAATATGACTATATTGACTATACAAACAAAAAAACAAAATAAATATACTATTTAGATGTCATTTAAACTATATTTTTAAGTTATAAATAATATTCATCATAAATATGGGAAAAAAGTTCTACAGAGTAAGTTAAAAAGAAGTCAGTTACTAGACAAATAAAACTGAAAAAGGAAAATAAACAGTTTAATAAAAAGATAAAATATTTCAAGTTCTAAACTAAACATAAAATGGCAATATTGAAAACATGATGTTCAAATATTCATGTCTTCATAAAATAAGAATATAGAATAAAAATGTCAAATATGTATCAATTATGTTCTTTAAAAGAAACTATAAAGACCAAATAGTAAAGTATGGACATGTAAACATTCGGTTATGGAATTCCACTATATAATAGAGAGAAAGTGAACCTACTATTACCATTAGTAAAAAGTTCATACAAAAATAGAAAGTAATATACATCGACAATTTTAACCTACAAGACTGCACACTCCAAAAACAAAAGTACATGCATAATACATATACAACTCAAGAAATAGTGCAATTAGAACAATAAAAATACAATTATATATAAAACTATCCCTAAAATAGAATAAATTATACAAGAAATATTTAAACAAAGGACATAAAAATGGTGCTTATAAATTGTTGAAAATAAGATTTTTTAGACTCACGTTGTCTGAAGAGCTGGGGCCCTGAGGAAGGCTGGGGCTGAAGGCCATGAGGTCGGTCTTCGGCGGGCCCTCCCCAGAACACTCCCTCTGCCGCCTCTGCTGCGAGCACCACCAGCTCCCCACCGCGCTGGAGCACACCAGAGTGGGCTTCCCTGGCCCGCACGCGCCCTCGGTGGGCGGAGCCGAGCACCGCAGCGCCGTGTACAACAGCAGCGTGAGCACCAACAGGCTGGACACCGCGCAGACGGCAATGATCAGATACACGTTCACATCCACCAGCGCTGCCTCTGGGTCCATGTCCCCTACCGATATACGTGACGGAGTCTTCGGCGTCTGGCCACTGTCCACTAGCGACAGCATTACGGTGGCCGTGGCCGCCAGCCCAGGCTCGCCGTGGTCCTTCACCAGCACCAGCAGGCGCTGGCGCGGCGCGTCCGCCTCGTCCAGGGCGCGCGTCGTGCTGATCTCGCCCGTGTACAGCCCCACGCGGAATGGGCTGCGCACGCTCCCCGCCTCCGACAGCAGCTCGTAAGACAGCCACGCGTTGTAGCCGGAGTCCGCGTCCACCGCGCGCACCTTCACCACCACGTGGCCCGCACCCACAGAACGTGCCACAGGCTGGCTCACAGCGTTGCCCCCGCCGCCCGCCCTAGGTTGCAGCAGCGCGGGCGCGTTGTCGTTCTCGTCCAGCACGAACACCTGCAGCGTCACGTTGTTGCCCAGAGGTGGCACGCCCGCGTCGCGCGCGCTCACCTGGAACTGCAGCAGCTCCAGCTCCTCGTGGTCCAGCGGCTGCAGCGCGTACACCTTGCCGCTCTCCGCGTGCACCGACACGTAGCTCGACAGCGCACGCTCGCCCACGCGCCGCTCCACCAGCGAGTAGGACACCAGCGCGTTCTCCTGCGCGTCCGCGTCCCGCGCAGACACCGTGAAGATGTGGCAGCCGGGCGGGTTATTCTCCTTCACGAACACCGTGTACTCGGGCTGCGCAAAAGCTGGCGCGTTGTCGTTCACGTCGGCCACCTCCACGAACACTCTGGTGGTGGCCGACAGCGAAGGTGAGCCCCCGTCCTGCGCTGTCACCAGCAACTCATAGTTCGCCACGCTCTCGCGGTCCAAGGTGCTGTCCAGCACCAGCGAATAGTAATTCTTGAAAGTGGAGACCAGCTTGAAGGGAACATGGGGTGACAAGGTGCAGGTAACCAGCCCGTTGACATCGGAATCTCGGTCAGATACGTTTATTAAGGTTATGACTGTGCCTGGTTGAGCATCTTCTGAGATAGGCAGAGACAAGGAAGTGACAGTCAACTTTGGAGCATTGTCATTAGCGTCCACAACTTCCACAAGTACTGTACAGTGACCAGCCAGGGGTAGGAAGCCTTTATCAATTGCCTCTACTCGAATTTTGTAAGTTTTACTTTCTTCAAAATCAATATGTCCTATTGCTATAATTTCTCCATGTATGCGGTCTATGTAGAACTTAGACTTTACATCTGGAGCAACATCACTAGAGAATGAGTAAATAATATCTCCATTCAAGTCTTCGTCTATATCTGAGGCGTGAAGTTTAATTACCAACGTTCCATTAGGAACATTTTCTGGTAATTTCACCGCATAGAGTGTTCTGTCGAAAGCTGGGGCGTTGTCATTAGCGTCCAGCACTGTGACGAGTAACTGAACGGTGCCAGTCAGCTCAGGTTTGCCTCCATCAGTGGCCGTGAGCACTAAAAATATCTCTGGAGTTTCTTCCCTGTCTAAAGATTTCCGTAGCACAAGCCCAAGAGGTTTTACCTGTTCGTCGGTGGTTGGTACGTCCAGAGAGAAATACTCATTGGGGCTCAGACTATAAGTCAGCAGAGCGTTGGCCCCGATATCTGCATCGGAGGCGCCCTCTAGTGGAAACCGGGAGTCAAGCAGCCTGGATTCCGCGATAAACAGATTCTTTTGTGTTCCCTGGAACACAGGCGAATTGTCGTTAACATCCTTTACCTCCACCTCCACATGGAAAACCTGCAGCGGCCTCTCCACGATCACCTCCAGATGGATGCTGCACTCCAGCCTCCGCCCGCACAGCTCCTCGCGGTCGATCCGAGAATTCACAAACAAAATGCCATTCTGCAGATTTACCTCCAGAAGGTCCCCACTGCCTTTGGACGCTACTCGGAACAGACGCGGCACCAGCTCCGCCAGCTCCAGCCCCAGATCCTGGGCGATGCGGCCTACGAAGGTGCCGTGTTTGACCTCCTCGGGGACCGAGTAGCGGACCTGGCCGCTCCCATTCTCCCAAGCTGTGAGAATTACAAACAACAGCAGTAGATGCCGGTCCCCCCGGTCACCTTGATTGGAGTCCATCATTTCAAAATTTTTCTTTTAATTCTAAGAAGCGCAACTTCTGTCAAAATTTATAGGAATCTTCTTATTGTTTCTTCAGTATCCTAATTTGCTCTCCATTGTTCAACTTCCGGATAGTGTAGCAGCGTGAAGTCTTTACAATGTGAAAACGATCACTTAGTTGTCTTGAATATGAGAGGATTTTAAGGCAAAGAGCGACATCATGTGGCCCAAATAGTACTTACAAATTACAAAAGCCAACTTTAATAAGATGCAAAGTTTTATTTCGATCTCTGAATTTTTTCCTTTATTTTTATTAAAGGACACATTCTCATGCTTGCTGAAGGCGTTTGTAAGAAAATTATTAATATTTAGTGTGACCATAATTGTGGTTTCCTCATGCCTTGAAAATATGTTTTCCCACAAAGTTTTAAAATAAAGATAAAAACCTAAGTGACAATAAAACGAGTCATGTTAGTAACACTAAGTTTTAAAATTATTTGTTCAAATTCAGGAAACTCCATTTTCTTAGATTTCTGTTAAGAAAACTCCTGGTCTCTCTAGGGACCTGAATCTCAAGAATCTATTAATGGCAGAAAAATTTAGAAAGGTTGTTTGTTTTTAGGAAGCAAGAAATATAAGCAACGAATTCATATACTTTTTCTTAAGAAAACACAATGATAGACTTGGGGATCTTTGAAGGGGGATAATTTATATAAAGTGAATTTTGAGGAGAAAGTATACTGAGTTTCCCTTTTCATCAGAATTTATATGTTCTCTTTCCGTGGTTTATGGTTCTTATATCTTTATCTTTCCATCCTTTGAAGCCTCATGTTTTGTGAATATCCACTGTGTTTACAATCTCCAGTATAATTTAGATGATTTATTTTATAATATAAGTTTATTTCATTAGATAAATGTCAGTACTCATCTGTCATCCTTAGAGCAGTCCTTTAATCAGGCTTGGGATATTTTATACTTTTTAGTTCTAGTACTTAACAGAGCAAGTTATTTTTAATGTTTCACTACCATATTCCTAATTGCAAATAAAATTACATTCACATTCTAATGTTTTCCAAGTTTGATATCTGCCTAAAGGAGTTTTAAATATTTCTGCTATCCTGGATTACTACAATTGCTTCTGATTGTGTCATCTTGTCACAATCTCATTTATTCTTTATTTAATCCTGACAATCATCTTCCTGAAAAACACTTTTTATTCCTATTGCTTCACACTTTTTGATAGCTTTCAAAGGACATTAAAGTGAGTTAAAAAATTTTTAGTGTAGTACTCAAAGTTACACAAGAAATTTGTCTCATAATACTTTTCCAACCTTATTCATACTCTTCCCATGAGAGCCATACGTTCTGACCAAAGCAAACTATTCCCTGTTTCCAGGCACATTTGGAATTTTTCATGTATTTATTTAAATTTTTCTGTTCTCAAGAATACCTATATACTCAATATTCTCCCAGAGGAAACTTCTCCACTTTAAAAACCACTAAAAGTATCATAACTCTTGAAGGACTCCTTCAGTGAGGGAAATAGGCAGATCTTTCTTTTCATTTCCAATAACGATGATTTCTGTTTCCTGTGCCTCATAATATTCTGCTTTCTAAAATGATCATGTTTATGTATGACATATATCTTTAATTTTCAGTGAACTTCTTAAGCCAGACAATGGGTCTTATTAATTCAATGAGTCTGGTCAGAACATCATGCTCTTAGACCTTCCTAGAATCTTTTTAAAATGCTTACTCAAGATTGATGGCTATGGTTCTTCTCTATTTTCTAAGAAATCATTTTGTTTTTAAGGTTGTTATATATAACTAGTTATACAGATGACACTCTTTATTGATTGGTATGACCATAGCCCATCTTGTTACTTTTAAGTATGTGTTTAAAATTATTATTGTGTTCTTACATATATATATATATATATACACACACACATATATATATATACATATATATATATTTTTTTTTAGGTGAGGCAACCCTTGGTTGACCTCACAGATTGCAAGGACTTTGTCAGCTTATGATCCCTTATTTTTTTATTTTTTTAATTTTTACTCCTACAGCACCTGGTTTTCCTAGGTGGTCTCCCACCCAAGTACTAACCAGGCTCGACCCTGCTTAGCTTCTGAGATCAGATGGTATCGGGCTTGTTCAGGGTAGCATGGCCATAGACATTTATTTTTAAAAAACAGAAAACACTATTAATGGTTTCTGAAATTTCAAGAATAGAAAATAAACACACTGGGGAGCATCAACCCAACTCATTCCAAGATGAACCTTGGGCAACATTTAAATGTGGAAAAATACACCATTTCAATTAATGATAGTCTTTTTTAAATACAAAAATCTTTTCCACTGCCAAAGTCTTAATTCAATTTTCAACTTTGAAAAACTGGTTTTAAGTTATATTTTCAGTGTAGTACATAGCATTCAAAATGTCAGAGACATCTTGGATTAATTTGGTAATTATGGACTCAGTACAAATAACAAAACATGTTTACAAAAAATTAAAATAATAAGAAGCCATAATGACAACTTTATGACATTTTAGATTTTACTATTCCAATTCAGAAACTAATAGTTTATTTTACTAAGCATTTACTATTTAGCTAATACTATTATGAGTATCTTATAAGATTCATCTTACTAAATATGTACAATTTTTTGTGATAGATACTACTCATTATCATCACAAATTTACAGGTGGAAAACTGGAAACTGAGAGGTTAAATAATCATCCATGCTGCACAGAACAAAATTGGTAGGAGCGGAATGCAGGCAAGAAAGGATGGTTTTAAAACTCATGACATTTAACATACGATCTGCTGCCTTCATGTAAAGAAAAGTGAATTGTTAAAATCATAATAAAGAAGTAGTGAAAACATTAGATTAGAAGATATAGTTACTTCTCCATAAAAAGAAACCTACCAAATAAAATTCAAACATAAACGAGATTTTCAGTGAGTCAGAAACACAGATTTTATATGGACTTACTTGATCAAAGTCCAAATTCCTTTGAATTACTCTCTCCCATGTTTGCATCCTATAAACCGAGCAATACCATGGGTGTCACATGGTAATTAAAAGATTATGAAGTCTCACTTTTCACACTTTCATCCCAAAAGAAGTACTCAATCTGTTAACTAATGTTCTGTCATTTATCGCTAAAAGGTTTAAGACCAACAATAAATGAATACTACAGACTATTGGAATCACCGGAGCCAAAGATCTAGAGAATAAGAGGAATAGAGTCCTTACACAAAATGGATAACTTGAAAGTGGTGGCTAAATAATATTTACCAGCCAAAAAAAAAAAAAAAAGATGGAAGAATAAGAAATAAATGATGTTAAAATGTCAATATATTATTTTAATGTGTAAATGCTAACTCCCCTGAGGTAAATGGAAAGGTACAATAATACTACAGAATTAATCAGAAAAAAATACTACTATCGATGTCAGTTTTAAGAACAGACAAAAAAGGAAATAGTCAAGAAAATTTTTACTTTAAAAGCAAAAAATCTTGAGGTGAAGATGTTTAAAAAGTCCAATTCCATTTTAAACTAAGATTAATAACAAATAATATTATAATTAAGAGAAAAAATGAAAGCATGTATATAATGTGAAATTATTCAAAATTTTAAGAATAGAAAAGTGTAGATAAACCTTTTTTAAAATATAACATTTCAAAATAACTATTAACTGTTAATTGTGAAAATTCAGACTTACTTTGGCACAACGATCATTTAAATCCTGACGCTCGTCCACATCCACCACTACTGGACAGGGTGGAAGGCTGGGACTGAAGGCCATGAGGTCGGTCTTCGGTGGGCCCTCCCCAGAGCACACCCTCTGCTGCATCTGCTGTGAGCACGACCAGCTCCCTACCGCGCTGGAGCACACCAGCGTGGGTTTCCCCGGCCCGCACGCGCCCTCGGTGGGCGGAGCCGAGCACCGCAGCGCCGTGTACAGCAGCAGCGTGAGCACCAACAGGCTGGATACCGCGCAGATGGCGATGATCAGATACACGTTCACATCCACCAAAGCCACCTCTGGGCCGGTGGCTCTCGCTGTCGCCCACAACGAGGCCTTTGGAGCTGGGCTGCTGTCCACCAGCGACAGCAGCACAGTGACAGTGGCCGTTAATGCCGGCTCGCCGTGGTCCTTCACCAGCACCAGCAGGCGCTGGCGCGGCGCGTCCGCCTCGTCCAGGGCTCGCGTTGTGCTGATCTCGCCCGTGTACAGCCCCACGCGGAATGGGCTGCGCGCGCTCCCCGCCTCCGATTGCAGCTCG